ACTACGTGATTTTAAGCCTGATTTAAGCCCGATTTGCAAATCGTTGAGTCGCCGACAAGTCAGGGTGTTCTCGCGTGCAAATCGCGGGCGATTAGCGGACGATTAACGCTCGCCAATCCGTTAGTGTGAAAGAGCCAACAACGCATCAAAGACAGCTCGCAGACACCTCGCAGACAGGTCACCGAGCTCAGAAAAATATCTAGCATGCTAGATATCTCGAGCAGTCGCGCGACTCAATCTCAGTGATGTTATGAGTACAGCCAATCATAGCAACGCATGGGTTGAGGACACCAGGTAAATCTTACTTTTTCTTTTTTGCATTTTTTTTTCTCAGAGCATATCGTCGAGCAAACAGTGTGCAGCACTAGTTTCTGTCTGACGTCCATATTCGTGTGTTGTGTTCTTCTCTGCAGTTTCGCGTCATTTCTGGTTCGTTTTATTGCGTGGTTTTTCGTTACAAAACATGGTTTCTAGACCAGATAGAATCGTGTTGTTGTCAACTCGTTATTTGTTTGATTATTTTCAGGATTTAGACCGTACTATAGTACTGAAACAGCTCTCATTGAGTCACAAATGATATGCTCTTATCATCCGATCGTGGTTGTATCTCTATGTAGTGCGTTGTTAACTCGTGTAGTGAGTTACCTCCTGTTGTGGATCAATCACGTTGTGTTGTGTGGTGTGAACAGCTAAACAACTTGAACACTCATGATTTCACTGAGAGCAAGTCATGTAGTGTGAACTGCACAGTTGAGCCCGACATTTTAAAATCATGTAGTGTGAACTAGGCATAAATAAACGCCTCACCTCCGACGTCGCGCGGTCGTTGCATTCCCTTTAGCACATCTAGTGGATGCATAATGCAAACCCGGTCAAACGTTTGAAAAATGTTCTAAAACAGGTCATTGAAGGTGCGCCTTATAGTGCTTATAGTATATAGTACTGCCGCTTGTATTTAAAGGGATAGTTAACAAATATATATATATATATATATATATATATATATATATGTCATCATTTTGTTTCCGACTAGTCGACTAAGGCCAACAGCGCCAACTAGTGGTTGTGACAGTCGACTAGTCGACTAGTTGATGAAACCCCTACCCTAAACCAACTGCCTTGACATGGCTGCATTATATACAGTACATGAATTCATTCAGAATTACTAACACATGTACAATGCATCGAGAGCGCACATACATTGTTTAATTGCACACAATATAACAGACTCAGAATCAGCCTTGTTTTCTTTACATTATAGCTGTTTTGGACTGATTGTTTTAATGAATTCTCTTACTGAATCATTGGTCTCTGAACTTTTTCAGTTTAGGGGCTTAAAATGATCTGATCAAACAGAAGCGAAATCGGGTTAAAGTCACCGGACTTCTGTAAATTTCCACCTACCTGGGTTACAAGTGCTTGTGCCTGAGGAATCAAATTAACTTGTGCCAGGATTAAATTAACTTGGATACTGTACAATATGATACCATGTGGAACCGCTATTGAATTTAAATATGTTTCAAGGTGTTGTTTGAACTTTCATTATTACCAACACTACCAGTTCATGTGCAATCCTCCTTAGTTGCAAAAGCGAACTGTCAGGTGCGAATCCAGGAATGGATGGAAAGCCCAAAGCTTGGCAATGGTGAATCATTCAGAGTGGAAAAAGACAGTCTTTTGGATTAAGTGTGCTGAGGTGGTACAGTTTTTAATATGAAAAAGATGAGGTCGGCGAAGTCAGCCAGTGCCTTGAATCAATTCTGCTCCTGTACAACATGAAATCGAAATGCTGTTTTGTGTTTTTTGTCTGTTTGTTAGCTTTGAGGAAATCTATATGCTAGTATGGCAGATATGCCTATTTAGCACTTAGTTGTTCTCTTCACAGAGTGAATATATTGATTAATCCTCTTGTTGACAGTGGTTTTTCACATTTGTTCAATAAAATGTTCCACTGAATGTAAATGTACCTGCAGTATCAAGTAATCCTCGTTCACGGCAGTGACATAACTAAAGATTATTGAATCCCTTTGACTTGTCCCAACCAAACCTTCAATAGGAAATATGCCAAGTTAGCACGGTCAAATTAACCCCAGCTATGCCAGTACTGTGCCTTTCGGGGGTACAAAATAAACCTGCTTAGAGAGCCCAAAAGTAAAGATGGTCGCCTCATTTTGACCTGGTAATGTCTGAAATGATTCAGTTTTAAGAATGGCTGTTAACTAACATAAGTCTGTAAGGAAAAATGTGTCAAAAGATCGAGGGAAATTTGATTTCTCATGTCATGACCCCTTAAATTCTGTTACTTTCCTGTTTACTTCTGTGAAGCTGCTTTGAAAAATGTCTGAAGGCAGTATAAAAATAATGACAATGACAGAGGCAAAGTTTTTTCGGTGCTGTGCATTATAGACATCCTTGGTCGACAAGTGAAAAGTGTGTTCAAGCCTATTCATGGGGTCTTTAGGCTTTGCTATCAAAGCCCACAAAAAATAACATTTGGTCATGTTTTGCATTCTCCTATTTTAACTGAAGAGGGAACATTATAGTAAGCTAAAGACCAGAAAATGCTCCTTTTAATGAGCGTTCCCTCCTATCAGTTTAGCAAAACACTTGCTGTTTTTTTACATGATAAAAATACAGTATTTACACTCTGTCAGTCATCCATTGGAATGTGCTGGGTTGAAATTTGTGCTGCATGCATGTTTATTTGGTTGGTGTTTGGATAACAGCGTCGTTCTTCATAGGCGGTGTAATTATTCCATCAGCCAGTGTCATGCATTAATCTCCTCGCTTGCTCAAATTTGATTGCCTGTGCACCAATGAGGAAAAAAGCAACAATTAAGCAGGCTGAGTGAAAAATTAATTAGCACGCCTGTTTAACTCCTTTGGACCAAGGATCACAGAAGCGAGTCAACAGTTCTGCATAGTCGTGGTACAGCTTGTGCGGATTAACTGTGATCACCATTACCTGTGTTTACTGCAAGTATATGACTATTGACAATATGCAGAGGAAGATATTTCAGTGTAAATGGCATTTTGTGATGTTTGGAGTGTTAAGAATTCAATTAACACATGCATAGTCCTGTGTTGCCAGACTTATTTAATCATCATCTTATTAATGTTACTTGTGTTTTTTTTTTTTAAAGCAATGCTGGTTTCCATAACAAATGGCATTTAGCAATTTCAATTATTATTTGTGTGTAATTATTTACACTACCGTTGAAAAATGTGAGGTTTGTAAGAGGTCTTTTTTATATTTTGAAAGAAGTTTCTTATCACCAAGGCTGCATGTTTTACTTACCAAAATAAGTAAAAACAGTAATGCTGTTATTGTTTTTGAATATATTTTGCCTGATGCAAAACTGAATTTTCAGCATCGTTACTCCAGTCCTCAGTGTCACGTGATCCTTCAGAAGTCATTCTAATTTACTGATTTTCTGCTCATTATCATCATCAATGTATTGTGTACGTTTATATGCACACACTCATAATGGGATTTTGCAATTAAACTTTACCTCAGGTGAACAATACTACGATTAAACTAATGCTATTAAGATCATAATCATAAACGCACTTCTTAGCATAATCAGAATAATGAAAATTGCATGTATATTGGAGTGAAGAGGTTTGCTCGTGTCATGTATACATCTTACTGCGTTTTAAGTCCTACCTTACTCTGATTATTATTAGAAGAAATAATTGCATTAATAATTGCTGCTTAATATTTTTATGGAAACAGTGATGCACTTTTATATGGTTTCCATATCTATATGTTTCCACCACAGAATGAAAAATAAAAAGGTAATTGCGACTTTTTATCTCACAATTCTGTCTTATTTTCTTACAATTGCAAGTTTACAACTCACAATTGACTATTTCTCAGAATTGCGAGATGTAAAGTATCAATTGTGAGATATAAAGTCGCAATTGCATGTTATAAAGTTGGAATTGCGAGATATAAAGTAAGAATTGCTACATATAAAGTCGCAATTGCGTGTTATATTATCAGAAATGCATGATATAAAGTCAGTTGTGAGATTTATACTATTCTGAGGGGGAAAAAGAGGCTATTTTTTTCTTAGAATTGGCCTGATAACTCACAATTCTGAGAAAAGATGTCAGAATTCCGACTTATAAACTCGTAATTATGTGTTATAAAGTCAGAATTGCGAGATGTAAACTTGCAATTGTGCGAAAGTCAGAATTGTGAGATAAAAAGTCGCACTTCTGTCTTTTTTTTTCTCACAATTGCGACTTTATATCACGCACTTCTGACTTTACATCTCGCAATTCTGACTTTATATCTCTCAATTCTGACTTTATAACACATAATTGTGACTATATCTCGCAATTGCCACTTTATTTCTCACAATTCTGACTTCATATTTCACAATTTTGAAATAAATAAATATATGAAATATAAACTGAAACAAGCTTCCATACTTTTTCAGGATTTTTTGTTGAATAGAAAGTTCAAACCAACAGCATTTCTTGGAATAGAAATATTTTGTAACATAACACATGTGTTTTTGTCACATCAGTTTAATGTGTATTTGCTGAATAAAATTGAAATAAAAAAAAATGTTGAATAGTTAAACACGTAAAAGGAGTGTTCTTCAGCAAATTAGCTGTAGAATTGAAATTCGTAATGTGAATCATTAACTTTCGCTGATATTAGTTCCAAAGTATAACGACAACACTTATTTATTTTGGATACACAGTGATTGTAACACTGCTTTTCCTTTTGTGGTATAATTTCATATTTTAGAAAGTGAAACTGTCGTTTATGACTTTAAATGTTGCTTTACACGCCAGACGCTCTCTTCCTGCTTTAGTTTGACACTGCTTGACCAGAATAAGTTGTACGGTGGATTAGATGTACCGCAATGAAAACAAAATCTACAAATTCACTAGCTTACAAAGCACTTGACAGAAAAGTGTCACTCTGTGGCATTGATTCACCAGTGTCTGATACGACTTCTATTCGTCTTCATATGTTTCAGCATCGACAAAGTCTCAAAGGTGGCATCTCCAGTCCTGGTCATCCACGGCACGGAAGACGAAGTGATCGATTTCTCCCACGGCTTGGCCATCTACGAGCGATGTCCACGTGCGGTGGAGCCTCTGTGGGTGGAAGGCGCCGGGCACAACGACATCGAGCTTTACGCTCAGTACCTCGAGAGACTCAAACAGTTCATTACGTTTGAGCTGGCTACCTCCTGAAGACACGGCAGGGCGAGACGCACACACACACTCACACGTGTCGTGTAGGGTTCCCCTTTACCCACGGCTGAGGACGCCATCAGTACTTGCACTTGCTGAAGGGGAAAAAAAGCGGAAGTCTCTCTCTTGATCTTTAGGAGAGTTTTCATCCCTACAGGGGAAACGCGTTTTAATAATTTCGAACCACTTTCTATTCTTTTATACTTGATGAAGAAATGCTGAAGTTTTGCACCGCATTCAGTACACTGCGTTTTTGATTTAAACATTTTTCTTCCTTTTTTTTTAATGCTCCTCAAGGGTTAATTAAACTGATGCACTTTTATTGTGCAGATATTTTCAGGTTGATATATTTTTGTTTTCAATGATCTTATTTTGTTGGTGGCGGGAAATTATGTCATGGCATTCCGTTTTATTACATTTCTAGTAGATTAGTACAAGAGTAATCAGTGAGTGACTTTTTACATGGCCAGTTTGTGCGTGCGTGTGTGTTTAAGTGCGTTTATACGCTCATGCGTTTGTGTGGTAAAGGCCACTGAATCTTCGGTCGATATAATTGTAGCTTGGGCTAATTAAAACAGGAAGAGCTGTGAAAAACACTTGACCCGTAAGTAATGAAGATGTACTGTCCGTGAATACAGTGGGAAGGGGGGGGTATTGTCTTTTCAGCGGTGAAACATGGTGCTTTGTTGGAACAGCATTCAGGGCATTGTTTCCGCATTAACACTTCATTGTTTTTACCGTGGGTTGCATAAAAATGTGAAATTTGAAGCTTTCTCTTTTGCTTTTAGCATAAGCCTTATGTTCTCAGACATTTCGCTACGACATTCCTGTCAATGATTTCTCGGAAATGGGATTTTGAAGATTTTCTCTGGGCTCCCGCTCGCTGCTACTCTAATGGGAAAATCACTGTGAAAGCTGAACCTAGATATGAAATTAAGGTATCACACCTCCACACCATTTTGAAGTTTATCCCCTTTTCCTGACATTGGACTAATTACAAAACCCAGTCCCTCATACTGCAAATGAAGGACTGTGTTTGTAGACATTTCACCATAACGCTACACAAGAGAATGTTTGGAAGTGCTTTCCATGTTAATGAAGGACATCGATTGCTACCGATCTGGTGCGATCGTCCGATTGTATGTTTGTTAACTTGACTTTGTTTTTTTTGTTTTTTTGCTGTAAGGTTATGCAGTGGCGGTTCTTGTACACTGTTGTTCAGAAATGAAGCTCTTCCGTGCTTGACCTCAGTGGACTTGACACCCTTTTTTTAAGGAATGGCAGAAACTGATCACATCTGAGTCCGTCATTGCTTTTGATACTGACATTTTTACAATGTTTTTTTAGTAATTATTAATATTTACACCTCTTTTAATGCTGGTTTGTAAGATAACTGTACTGTACAGTGTACACCCTCTCTCTCTCTATATATATAAATATAGGTAAAATATGAAGTAAATGGTATTTAGCTTTGATTTTTATTGACACTGGAATCACAGTATGCAAATATAATGCAGAAAAAAAGTAGTTGGTACAGACTCTTTTGCTTGTAGTTTTTTTTTAAATATAACTTTAAAGCCTTAAATGTGCTGCGAGGCAGATTATTGTTCTTTCTGTTGGTTGTTGCTTTATTGCAACACACTTGATATTGTACTGCTTATAATGGAATAAAGGATGCATGGAAACCAAAACTAGCTTAACATGTGAAGTCTTTTCATTTCTCAGGTTGCTGATTTTTATTTCGTTTGAAAAGTTTTAGAAGGTCAAATGTGTCCAATTGTTCAGCTCGAGTCATAATAGTGTTTATAATGCCTAATTTGTTGCAGTATTAACCTCTTCTGGATTATTAAAATAGCTTAGTAAACTTAGATGTTACATTGGAAACTGTTAGTTTAAATAGGTTTACATTGGAAACTGTTAGTTTAAATAGGTATACAAATATCAATGTATACCTATTTAGCTTGATAGCTAACTTAAAGGGATACTTCACTTTTTTTGGAAATATGCTCATTGCACCACTCCCCCAGAGTTAAACAGTTGGGTTTTACCATTTTCGAATCCGTTCAGCCGATTTTCTGATATTTAGAAGAATATCAGTAACCAGACAGTTTCTGGTCTCATTGACTTGTCAATGTGGATTCGAAAATGGTAAAACTCAACTGTTTAACTCTGGGGGAGTGGTATCCCTTTAAAGCAATGTGAGTTTTCATTTATCCATTAAGAGCTTATGTTATACTTTTTCGAATGAAATCTGTATTTTTTTTTTTTGGCTAAGATGCATTCAGTTGTTTAAAATAAATGCTGCTCTTTTTTTCTTTAAGTAACCTTGGGGAAAAAAAATCATGGGTTCCATAAAAATCACAACAGTTTTCAACATTGATAATTAAAAAACAGTTCTTGAGTAGCAAATCAGCATATTGGAATGATTTCTGAAGGATCATGGGACACTGAAGGCTGGAGTAATGATGCTGAAAATTCAGCTTTACCGTCATAGGAATAAATTACATTTTAAAAGATATTCAAGTAGAACATGGTTATTTAAAACGACAATAAAATTTCACAATATTACTATTTTTACTCTATTTTTGATTAAATGCTTGTTTAAAAAGTCAAACCAACCCACATTTTTTTAATTGTAGTGTAACTAATACAAATGTAATAAGAAATGAATCCAGCTAGCTATAATATTATCATAAAATGGATAAGAGTGTGACATTTGTAAGCCAATTGTTTCAGACTTGAAGACAAGAAAGTCTTTCTGCAGTGCATCAAAAATAGAACCTGGCCAACTGCAGATGTCCATCAACTAAATGAGTGGCGTGACACAACAGATGCTTCCAGCGCAGACAGTGCTATTGATTTTAATGGCACTGCTCTAGTTTTGATGTGCCACATGTCTTCGCTATGGACACAGTGTTGCTTTCTATTCTGGCGATTTGCTTTCAGAAACATGTATTGAATTATTTCTACTGGTAGTAACTTATGATTTTGAACTTCTTGCCAAATTAAAGTTTCGTTTTACAAGCTGTGAATACAAGTTTGTGATTTTTACCGTAAATCTGTAATTGTCAACTGTATGACAGACTCCTTTTTTTGAACTTGTCTTCAATGTAGTTAGGAATTTTATATACATAAAACATTTGTGCATATCCTTCAAACATCATCTTAAATTTAACAGTGAATTGAATCAGTGCTGTGTCCGGACTTAAAGAGCTGGTGCTCCTGATAACTTGTTTGGATTAGAATACTGTTACTATTGGAGGTGTATAGCCACATTTTCTGTATGTTTAATACCCATAAATTAATACTAAATATGCAGAAATGTGTTGTATATAAGATCTTACTGCAATACCAATGCTTGTGCTGCGTTCTATTATTTATCCGTGTCGGAGTTCTGTCTAGGGCGTTGCCTAGCCACATGCATCAACGCGCCCCCTTTTCTTGGATTTCCCAGTTCGGAAGTCGGACAACCGTGAGGACACTGAGCAAGAATTCCGATACGGAATCCAAGATGGCTACCCACTGTGTGACTTGTAAGTATGAATTGTTTTCATTGTTTTTGGACCGCTTGGGTTGTTTAAATTATATATTGTTTAAATTATATACCTGCAATACCTTACTGTGTCCGTATCACTGCCTTTGGGTATGGAAATCGGTCTTGTTGTGAGTGCAATATTGAATAGCCTTGTTTCAAACGGGTGTTACTAATGTGGCTAGTGTTGCTAACAGAAGATAAACTAAAACATGAAACAAAGTGACAAGTTTAGAAGTTCAAATGGCTGCGTTTTGATAAGTGCTTGGTTCTCGGCCAGTGCTACCATAGCAACCACTTTCCGGGTGGCATCCATGTTTTTTTCCAACTCAGACGCGCAAAACATACCACAATGAGTGATGTCATATCCAAGTCAGTTAGTTGACAATAATAGAACGCACCATTACGGCCCTATTTTAACGATCTAAGGACGTGCCCGAATCCACTTTTGCTAGTTTAACGATGGGGAAAATGGTCTAAATGGTGTGAAAATGGTCTACAACATGGTGCAGGACATGAAAATGATAACCGCGTTGGGCTGAAACTAGCAAGACATACTTGTTGCGCCTGGTGCTGCATTGCGCCGGGTGTGTGATGGGGCCCTTGGAGGACTTTACACGACAACAATATACTAAAAGTTTTACTTAAATGTTTTTGTTTTTCGCATACAGACGACAATGTTTTTAAAATGATCCTGTTTGCACAGATCTATTAAAATGGCTAACACTTTATTATACTGCCAGACCAGTAGTTGGCTATGTCACTTTGTCAAGACTGAACATACAGTATATGCATGCACAAGATGTCGTCATTTGCAGTTTGAGATGATAATGGTTAAATCAGTTCTCAAAAGTTTTTTGTTTTCAGGCACCCAAAACACTGTTGTCATGTAAATGAACATCATAGCACTTGCATAATAGCAAAAAGGTAGTGTAAACAGCTTCGTAATAAAAAAAGGATTGATGGGGTGCTATATCTAGCTGACGGTTTTGCCACATTCTTCATAAATAAAACAACCACCATCAGCGGCCAATTGACCCTTCGCAAAGCCCCGCCCTCCCTAGTTACTGTTGCTACGCCTGTCAAGCTTTCATGGCTGGCCCATCTATTATAGTGTGGATGCACCCGGTATCAGACATTTCAATGAGATTATTAGTAATTTTTGGTGAACAAGTGAAATATCTGAGAGAGCAAGACAAAAGGGACTACAGTAGGCATTCGAGGGATATATTTACGACATTATATGCAACCGATTAGAGAATAATTTCTTAAAAATTGAAGTTAAAGCCTAACGTTATTGTCCCAGCGCAAGCAGCAGCGCCTCATACGCTGACCGTTCAAATGGGAAACACAAATTGAGGAACAGCTATGTTCATACACAGCAGGGTATGTGAAAATAATCTTAATAATTATAAATCAAACAGCTTATCAATAAATCTTGTGGAATAACACTAATACCGGGAGAGCCGCGATCGGATTGGGTTAAGTTACTTAGTAAGGGGTAGGTTAACGTTAGTAGGACGTCGATTAACAAAATGCTGAAATATATTTTAAAGTATGTCAGTGAGCCTTTGTCTTGTCTCTTTAATCGTCTTATTTTACGTTATCATTATGACCAAAGAACCGTCAATATTTCCAAGCAATAGGTGTTTTTGTTTAGCATGTCGACATTTACCAGAATGGGTCTCGCACATAGATGCTAGATCACACCAATCATTTCTCCCCTTGGCTTTTAGATTTTCTGGAAGAAAAACAATTCCTCTCCCCCTTCCAAACTTTTAGTATACCGGTATCAGATTTGCACAATCCATACGCACAATGCTTCAGCATGTTTCCCTCGTTCGAAAGCTTGCCTCCCGCGCATAGTTACGGTTGCTACGACATGATTGGCCAGTGGCGGTTTTCGGGCGTGGCAGACATTTTACCAGCTAACACACACATTCTACCCTCCTTCTCTCTACTTTCAGAGGCAGAAGTCTTCAAACTCCTTTCCAATCGCCCTTTTACATGCTCGCTTGATCCTATTCCCACTTCAAGCCATTTCTTCCTCAGTTGTACCCGCACTCACACACATCATAAACACTTCTCTTCACACTGGTACATTTCCCACAGCATTTAAGCAGGCTCAGGTAAACCTACGGCTTAAGAAACTCACTCTAAATCCAGCAAATCTGGAAAGCTACAGACTTGTATCCCTTCTTCCATTCATCACGAAAACACTTGAACGAGTTGTTTTCAACCAGATCTCTTCCTTACAAAGAACAACCTCTTGGACAATAATCAGCCTGGTTTCAAAAGCGGACACCCAGCTGAGACTGCCCTGCTCTCAGTAATTGAAGCTCTGAAACTGGCAAGAGCAGCTTCCAAATCCTCAGTTCTCATCCTGCTGGATCTGTCTGCTGCCTTTGACACAGTTAACCACCAGATCCTCCTGTCAATCCTAAAGATAAAGGGCATCTCGGGAACCACAATCAAATGGTTCAAGTCTTACCTCTCAGGTAGGTGCTTTAGGGTGTCTTGGAGGGGTCAGTTGTCTAAAACCCAACATCTAGCTACTGGAGTGCCTCAGGGCTCAGTTCTTGGTCCACTTCTCTTTTCCACCTACATGACATCACTAGAATCTGTGATTCAGAAACATGGCTTTTTCTATCACTGCTGATGACACACAACTCTACCTCTCATTTCAGCCTGATGATCCGACGGTAGCTGCTTGCATCTCAGTCTGCCTGACAAACATTTCTGGCTGGATAAAGGACCACCACTTACAACTAAACCTTGAGAAGACAGAGCTACTTGTAGTCCTGGCCAACCCAACACTTCAACCCAACAACTTCACCATTCAGCTAGGCTCGTCATCCATAACTACATCAAGGTAAAGCCATGGAACCTTAGAGTTGTAATTGATGATCAATTGAACTTTACAGACCACATTACTAGAACTGCCCGGCCATGCAGATTTGCCTCGGACCCAGACTGATCTCATGAAGTAGCGTGTGTATGACACGCCAATTCGTATTTCCATTTTTGGCGTGCCATCAAGACGCATAATTGCTTTTCAGCGTGTTTATGAACGCCGTTGACTTAACGTTATATAAATATATGATTTACCTCAACCCCGTCCCTAAACCTAACCGTCACTGGGGTTAATGGCATTTATGACTGTTCCCTTACCATCCTAGGAAAGAAAAAGATATGACTTACCTCAACCCCATCCCTAAACTTAACCGTCACTGGGGTTAATGGCATTTATGACTGGAGATTTGACGTCGTGTACAGACACGCGGAATGACGCGGACGTTAATGGCGTAGACATATACGCATACACGCGGATACACGCGGATAGCTCAAAATGCGTAGAGATAACACGCCACTTGACTCGAAAGTGGCGTGTATGTTTACGCAAAAGTCATGATGTCATGTTGCTCGGACCTTTACCATGACTGTTCCCTGCTTGTGAAATGCTCTGCCTAACTCAACCAGAGCTGCTGAGTCTGTAGCCATTTTCAATAAACAACTGAAGACATCTTTTTCGGCAGCACTTGATCCAGTAATACTAATACTTTCTTTTCTATTTATAAAAAAAGGCATGTACTGCGTTTCAATAAACTGAGAAGGGTCATAGCACTTGCATACTGTGGTCCTGCTGTTAGTTTAACTGCTTCTTTTGTTAGCATATGCTAAATGAATAAATGTAAATATACAAAAAAGTCACGTTTGTATTTATTTATATGGCTCATTTAAAAACGGGCTGACCAAAAGTGCTGAACAATAGATAAATCACACATTCGTTTCAAAATATCAAAATGAATTAAAAGCTAAAGAAAAAAAAAACGGTTTTAAGAGATTATTTAAAAACGGTTAGAGATTGAGTCGCTCTGATATAAACTGGAAGGCTGTTCCACAGCCTAGGGCCAGCAATCGCAAAGGCTACTTTTACCGTGATCTGTAGACAGATAAAAGTCTCTGATCACCAGACCTCAGGTTTTGTGTGGGTTTGTCAGAGTAACGCCGACAAAAAGGGTTGTTGACTTATGCCTAAAATGTTCCAAGGAGAAATGGGTTTAACAACACTTTCATGTTTAATGGGTTATTTAATTTTTTTTTTTTGGGAACCCCTAAAAAGGTTATATGAAGTGACTGAAAGAACCCTTTAGGGAACCTTTTCTTTTAAGAGTGTAGCCTTTTTTTTCTTTCTTTCTTTTAAGTATCTATAAATACATCTCCCAGATGGCTTCTCTTTATAATTTCCTTTTTCCATTGTTCCCTTGCTCTATCTCTCTCCCTCAATCCATAAAAGCCATTTTCATAGAGGAAGGCTGTTAACTTCTGCAGATAACTTAACTTCCGCTCTTCAAATGCGACAAGCAGGTGGAACTGGAGGCAACAATTAAGCCTCATCTGTTGGAACCAGTAATAGTTTACATTGGCCAGGGACCAGATGTCCTGTGAGGGTGGGGAATTGGCAGAGCTTAAGGTTGAACTTCTGATCCAAACGGGTGGGGAGCACCAGAAGCAGTTTTTACTGATAGCAGATACATATGATGATCTGATTTCTGTGGGCTTTAGGTGTGTATGGGTGTTTTAAGGTAAACATGGAAATATATAATATGATGTATTTGAAATAGGATATTTAGTGAGGGGAAATGTATGGTGTAAGACCAGAAAATTAGAAGGTAAAAAGGGTTTATTTGGTTTTCATTTTTTCTCTCCACTTTTTAAGTTCTTCCTGAAGATTGAACACTGGACAAACAATGGAACCCTGATGCAAAAACTGTTAATCAAACTACAACACAACAAAATGATACAAAAAAGCTGAACTGATGTAACAAACTGCTAAAATGAAACCATATAATGAAATGCAGACCGTGACTAGGGGCTGTAGTCAAAAAAAAATAAAAAAATATATATATATATATATATATATATTGCATAACTTGCATAAGAGCATCCTAACCATGCTCTCTATTCCAAAATCTTTCAAAATCAAATGATAGTTTTGTTTGAGAAACAGACCAATATTTAACACATGATTTGATTAACTTTTCCCCTCGTACAGCATCTCCCAAATATTTCTCTAATCAAACTACAACACAACAAAATGATACAAAAAAAGCTGAAATGATGTAACAAACTGCTAAAATGAAACAATATAATGAAATGCAGACCGTGACTAGGGGCTGTAGTCTATATATATATATATATATATATATCTTGCATAAGATCATCCTAACCATGCTCTCTATTCCATATCTTTTGAAATCAAATGATAGTTTTGTGTGAGAAACAGACCCATATTAACCACATTATTTGAACTTTTCCCCTCGTAGAGCAGCTCCCAAATATTTCTTGTTTTGTACATTCAAACATGTGACATTACATCAAGAGACCCATGAGAATCAATGATGTTTGACATCACTGACATCCAACCTGGTTCAAATAGCATATTTAAAAATGCAAATGAACAGTGTTCTTTATGACATAATGCCTACAAAAATGAAGCAGAACATATTATTATTAGTTCGGGTGGTGTAGACCTAGGTCTGATCCTCTGTTATCCACTGTCTCACATTCCTAGGAGGACTGCAGGAGTTCCCACACTTCACTGGGCAAAAATCCACCCCAGATACCCAGACAAGAGGCATCTCAGTCCGCCTTGAGTAATCCACACAGGAAGTTTACCTTTCCGGAGAGCATACGCAGACCGTTCTTCCAGCCTTGGATAAGTAACAGATTATTTGGCAATGGGAACCAGGCTCACACTGCCTGCTCTACATTTGCCAAACTCTTTATTGGGGAATTAAAATATATTTAACCAGGACCGAGTGCAGACTTTCCAAATGAAACCCTCAATCATCAAGACAGAGATTGATTCGGTTTCATATGCCACGCCATCTTGAAAGGGGTTGAATGATAGGCTTGTGGTTTGTTTCTGGTTACCAGGGGTGAGAATCAACCAACAGTGGTCTGAGGAGGGACAAACCACAAATCAGCGACGGGGGTTGGAGACCCGAGGCTCATCGATGGAGCCAACAAAAGGATGGTGGTTATTGGAGGAATGTGTCACAACACAGTGTGTCACACACTCTGCTGCGTGTTGGGACTGCATAGCCACAGACCAATCAGAGTGCCTATGATGACCCCTGTCCACTGTTGAAAGTGCCTACCAATGGGAAGGTGAGCGTCAGAACTGGACCTTGGAGCAGTGGAAGATGGTCACCTGGTCCAATGAGTCTCCTTTTCTTTAACATCATATGGACAGTCATGTATGTGTGCTGTGTTTATCTGCGGAAATGATGGCACCACGATGCATTGTGGGACGACAAGCGTGATGCTCTGGTCAATGTTCTGCTGGGAAACCCTGGGTCTACCATTAATATGGACGTAAATTTGACACATGCCACCTACCTAAACATTGTTGCAGACAAGGTACACCCCTTCATGACAATGGTGTTCCCTGATGGGAGTTCCTCTTTCAGCTGGGTAAAGCACCCTAATAATTTGGGGTGAAAAGTTCAGGGTGTTACCCTGGCCTCCAAATCCCCAGATCTCAATCCAATTGACCATCTGTATGATGTGCTGAACCAACAAGCTTCTTCTACAACGCCTCCACCTCGCAACCTACAGGTCTTGAAGGATCTGCTGCTAATATCTTGGTGCCTTTAGGGGTCTAAAGTCCTTGCCTCGACAGGTCTGTATATGTATATATGGTGGTGTTTGCTTCGGATGAGATATTAAACCGAGGTCCTGACTCTCTGTGGTCATTAAAAATTCCAGGATGTCCTTTGGAAAAAAGAGTAGGGGTTTAACCCCGGCATCCTGGCCAAATTTGCCCTACCAATCATCCTCGTATATACTTATTGGCCTCATCACTCTTTCTCCTCTCCACCAATAATCTGGTGTGTGGTGGGAATTCTGGCACAATATGGCTGCCGTCACTACATCCAGGTGGATGCTGCACATTTGTTGGTGGTTGAGGAGCTTCAACCCCTTCTATGTAAAGCGCTTTAAGCACCCATGAAGAAAAGCGCTATATAAATGTAACAAAATGCTTTGGGTTTCATATGTCAGAAATCCAAGGATTCTACTGAAGCCATGGACTGGGGAAGAAACCACAGTAAATAAAAATAAAACATCTGTCTGCCCCATATCTAGAGTGAGAAACCTGACTTGCATTCAATCTCAGGGGCCATTAAACTTCACCTTTTTCAGTAGCTGGGAGGTTTTACTAAGTGAACTCAGATGTACTCGCGCTTGAATGCAAAAAAGGACAAGGTATTTATATCTCAGCAAGCCATTGCAAGACAGCGCAGCATTTCTGCTGGGATAATCTCCTTCCAGGAAAAACAATGTGCATTCCAATTTTCATCACTCCATTTAATGAGCCCCGGGGTTGCATTTCTGTCTGTTTTTAAGTCCTTAGAGAGACTTTGTGAATTCAAATAGAAATGCTGTTGTAGTGCTCTCATATTTGTTTGCGTAATTCCAAATAAATATTCTCAGCCTATACATGCGTGTCGTCTGTGTCCTATGGGCAGTAACACTGGGATTTTGAAGTCTGTGATGTATGGGTGATATTTTATATTGAGATTCATTTTAGATGTCTACACATTTTTATGCATCATTCATGGAGATGATACCATCAGGCCATATCACAGCCCTCCTGAATTTACAAAAGCAAAACCACTGAACATTTTGTCCAGATTTGGTTGTAAAATAATCACACTGCTCTCATTGTATAATTTTATATTTACATTTTAAAGTTCATGCTATTCCTTGAATTGTAATCAGTAAATTATTACAATTTTGTTTTCTCAAGGCAGTTTCATTTTACAAGAGTGAAAAAAAGGATATGAAACTATAATGTATCTACATGAGTCATAAAGGAACACCTGTTTATTTGGACATTCCGTTTGAATCCTGAAGTCAATATGAATCATAACAGGACGTCACTTTATTAAGTTTTATTCCTCTTGGAACAATGATAATAGCGACCTCTATGGATTAAAACTGATAACTGTTATATTCATGCAGTATGAGTCAATGTTCTCTCGGGTCATAATTAATAAACCATTATTATTCTATAGCAGTGCTGCTTTCCACAAATGTAGACAAAACTACTAGCACATTTCCCCTCTGTGAATAGACTGACTTCTATTGTGTTCCTCGTTTAAAAGTCACTTTGGATAAAGGCATCTGCTCAATTAACATAAATAAATTACATAGAATCCCTTTTTTGTTGCTGTTTTGAATAAAAAACACCTGCTGAAATGTGGGTAGAATAGAATTGAAGTCGATCACCTGTTGTCGTATTTTGAATGGAACACAAACATGCTCAGTTACATTTTTGGCCGTGACCTTTTATATCTATCCCTAATGATTTTTATAGTCCTTTTTGAATGTAGCCTACTTTTTTTTCTCCACTGGAAGCTCCAGTCACTTAGACAAATTCCATGTTGCGACTAAATTCTTGTCATTAAAGATAATTCTGATTCTGATTAATCATCTCATTTACAGTCAGAAGGTTGTCGTCGAATGCATGTGAAGTTTTCAGTTTGGAACGGCACATACTGTACATTGGAGTTCTTGAGCCAATCAGTGTTGACTAGGCGTGCCTTCGGATTCATCTGGCCAATCGTCGCGCAGTGGGCTTGGCTTCGCACCGGCGTTGTAAACAGTGTAAAGCAGGAGACTGGAGGTGTGTATAAATATCAGTGTCTCCTGTGCTGTCTTATGAACTCATGCCGCGCATCAGCTGCTTGTAGTCTGCACTGTTTCCGTGGAGCTGATCTACAATCTGCTCATGCTACAGGTTGGTCTGCACTTCTGGACCTTTATCTTTGTGGATTTTGAAACTCACGAATGATGCACTGTTACATATACTTTCAAGGGTACAACCCGACATGTAGGAGTGAGACAAGTGCGCTTTGATTTCTGCGGATTTTATCTCACTAGTGGCGGTGAGAAGCTCGTGCGTCAAGGTGCGTCTTTTCTCATTTCATGACATTCCCATTACGCGCTCTTGTCTTTTATCCATTGCCATTTTTGTGTGTCAACAAACCGGCGCGTTTTTGTAGGCAAGACCAGTCACACATAGAACAGAGAAATCTATTCCAGTTATGTAAGTTTGCGAGTGTTTGTGGCAACATGTCTCACCGGTGCAAGTTCAGACATAAAAAGCATTAACAGCTCGCGATTATGACGCGCATCATTTCACCTGAGCGTCCGCGCGCCTTCAGCACCTGATCGATTTACAGTTTCATCTGATTCTGTTTCATTAAAATGCGAAGATAAGTGACTAAAACTTTTACCCTGCAATTTTGCTGTAATGTACAATTTCGAATAGTATAATGTGCAACAGTATGGTTTATTATAGTGTGATACAATGTAGTAATGTATAAGGCTGTTTAGTGAAGCATGCAGTGTACCTCACATATTGTGAAGTACAGTATTGTATTGTGTAGTGTCAGTTTAATATTGTGGTTTGAGAGTACAGTGCTAAATTATTGTGCATGGGATCATATTATAGCGAGCACTTTTTAGTTTCCAATATCATGTACTTTAAATATAAGCATGCACCTTTACGTTTCCCATGACACCTGGAAAGTGGGACCCCCTGAAGGACAACAGTTTCCACCCATTTCATCATCATCTTGGAAATCAAGGTATGCTTTATTACTCTCTATTGTGCATGTGAACATATTAAAATGCATGCTTTTGCTGAAAATGGTGTAATAGTGCTTAGTATCATGTGAATAATCACTTGATGTTAGCGGAGAAAGAATTAGATCCAAATTTCCTTCGAAAAAGACTTTAGGTCTTTTTCCATGTGATGCTTTATACTGATATCCAGTATCAGTCGGGTGTCAATGAAGATGAGTTCTGCAAATAGTATGAAAAAGGTCCTTGTTATGGCGTCTCCGCCTTTCTGTCCACCAGATGAATGGGAATGGTACCAAAACCACAAGTTGATGTGTGGAATGAATCCATTGCATGCTGCTGGGGCGTTGAGGCTCTTCTGCTTCTAAACAATGCAGACTGGCAGCAAGTTCTTTTCATGCATTTGTGAAATGACGGCCAGCAAGTGGGCAGATGTTTTTTCAAACCCCATTCATCAGCCATTAAATGATGTGTGAAATTGTAAAGGGCAGATATTTCTCTCAAGCTATGCTGTGTGAGATGGTGGGAGTTTATTTTAGAGTAGCTACTTGTTAGAGGAAACTAGAAGTATTAATCATTTGTGCATAATTCATACCGTTTCTGCATTACGAATGCTATTGTCAACTTATGGTTTTGGAATCTTTCTGCTTCCAAATGTAACGTTTAATTCAATGTGCTACTTCAAGCTGACTAGCAAATTTCTGAGTGAGAATTGTTTCTACACCAACTTTTTATTCAGTGTAAATGGAGACTTTCTTTGAAAACAGTGCACATGACGTTACAGTGTCCAGATATTCATGCCGATCTGTATCATGGCAGCTGCCCATGCTTGAACTTGAAACGGTGGCATGCACTTTTGAACGCGCTCCAGAATCACAGCTCTGCACAGATGGATGTTTTATTGAGAGCTAGTCGTAACTTGTGCATTGTGGGCAGGGGTTTTGTGCACTTGCAAGTGACGGTTATTTTAGGTTGGCCATTAAACACCTATGAGATGCAATGGCTGGCTTCAGGCTGACCTAGTTGAAGACATGTGGAGGCGGACATGTGTATGCATGTGATTTTATGATACAGTTTTCGAATTTGGCCTTTTGCCTATGCATCAGGTGTGTGTTGTCATGTCTTGAAATGAGCTTAAAGGGTTGTAATTCAGTCAGTTTTGAGGTTCTATTTCAGTTAGTATGCTGCCTTAGAAGGCAGTTAGTAGACAGCAAGCAATGGAGCTTACTAGGTTGTGGAACAGAGCCATCTTTATACCCTGTTGTCTATCTCTTATTCTCTCTCTTTCATCCTTACTCTTGCCTCTGGGCTAAATCTAGGTCTAAGTTATAAAACACAATCCATGCCCCCTGACCACAACAGATAAAATCCTTGAAATATCACTAAAGACTTATGAAATAGCACATGTTGTTGTAGCACCTTATCCACAATGACTCGCGTTTTAATCTGCAGCAGTGTCATAAATGGCGTGGTTAAAGCATTGTGAACCTTTAGTTCATTACTAATAAAGTCTTTTTTTTTTTTTTTTTGCTCAGTTCCCTGATAACCACATATTACACCTACCTGTGGCAGGTTAGGAACGGAATAGTTCACTAAAAATAACACATTTTTTTACTCATGTTGAATAGAACCTGTTTGCTATTTTTTTTTTTTTTTTTTTTTTTGTGGAACACAAAAGATGAATATTTGAAGAATCGTCATGCAATATTAATTTTGTTATTTGACTATTATTATTATTTTGAATTTAATTTTAGTTTTAGTAATCTTATTTTGTGCAATAGTTTTTTTTAATATTCATATTTAACTGTAATTTATTTTAGTTTTAGTTGTACTTCAGCTTAAACCTAATATATTTTAATACGTTGCCATAACAACATTTCAAATTTAATTTAGAAAAAAATAATAAAAAATTTAATAAAGTTTTTCATCCAATATTTATATTTTAATTTATTTTAGCATTATTTTAATTAACGAAAACTATATTTAATAATATCAGTTTTTGTTAACAATAGCAACACTTCTATCAAGCTCCAAAGAGAATTAAAAAACACCATAAGGACCCTTTCACACACACGTTCTTGTGTTAGAAAACACCTTAACACAGCAGAGCGGAAGGGAATAGAATGCAGGGGTCTAACTATTTTTAACATGGCGTCTTAAAAATGTGACGCACATGGTGAAAAAGCATCAATATGCGCATTGCACATGCTTGCATAAACCAAAAATCTAAATAAAGCACCTTTGGAAAAAAAAAAAAAAAACTAAAATAATGTACAATCTCTTAAAGTCTCATAAAAGAAGTAATTAACATGAAGACACGTAGTAGCTTAAAAAACAAATTTGATCGAAATTCATTTTTAAAGCGTGGTAATGTGTTAAGACGGCACTTTGAATCTAAATTTTGATTCCACAAATGGTAAGATTATCAGTGAATAACTACTTACACTCACCTAAAGGATTTTTAGGAACACCTGTTCAATTTCTCAACCGAGGTATGCTGCAAAGCATTTGTGAAGCCACAACGCGCACAACCTTGAGGCTGATGGGCTACAACAGCAGAAGACCCCACCGGGTACCACTCATCTCCACTACAAATAGGAAAAAGAGGCTACAATTTGCAAGAGCTCACCAAAATTGGACAGTTGAAAACTGGAAAGATGTTGCCTGGTCT